TTATCATCCGTTCTGATCACTGATAAACAGAAAGTCACCCGAATAACACAACGTGTTGTGCCTGACCTTACCCAAGTAGTTTTAGTGTGTAAACTTCGCCAAACACTGAGTGAGAGACAGAAAGCAGAAGCTAAAGTCAAAAAGGAAACTATGATTATGGTCAAAAATGGAAGTCTCCTGGGTGAAAGTCCACTGACTTGCACCTCCTCCAGCCTTCAAATGGGGACTCTTGTTCCTCTTAGATTGAGGTTACACTTTTTAAATTGTGGTAATAACAGCCTACTGAGCCAAAAAGGCAGAGGAGAACCCTCGTAGTCCATTTGTATGGGAATGAGTAGAGTTGAAGGTAAAATCCAAATTGGGTGGTGAGGAAAAGGTGAGGGGGTTGCCCAGTGTATAACCAGTTTTGTGGAACATTTTGTGAAAAGACATATTAACCACTACTATACAGGTAGCATGTGTTAAACTAGCCAAACTAATTTATTTTTATTTGCAAATTTGCATGATTTGATTGTCAAAGTGGTAAAACAATCAAAAAGCCAGCTAGCCTGTTAAATAATTTGTTTTTCAATGTATGTGTCAAGAAAACCTGGAAAAAATGAAAGCTGTAGTTTTGCGAACACATATTATATCATAGAGGTTCCCATAGGAATGAATGGAGCTCTGGTTGGCCTGCATACCTCCACAGAGCTGTATGGAAATGAGTCATCAAGTATCACTGCAGCCAGTCAAAGCTATCCTGGGGATGGGAAATAATACATGTGATGGCTAAACAAGGAAACACTGATACTCATAGTGCAGGCAACCAAACAAAAGTTTACGTGTGGTGAGGTCCATCCATCCATCCATCCATCCATCCATCCATCATCCATCCATCCATCTATCCATCCATCCATCCATCCATCCATCCATCCATCCATCCATCCATCCATCCATCCATCCATCCATCCATCGTCCATCCATCCATCCATCCATCCATCCATCCATCATCCATCCATCCATCCATTCATCCATCCATCAAATCCATCCATCCATCCATTATCTATACACTGCTTAAGCCTCACAAGGGTTGCGGGGGGCTGGAGTCTATCCCAGCTGACTCAGGGCAAAGGCAGGGGATCTTCTTGCTATGAGGCAACAGTGCTAACCATCGAGCCACCTTGCAGCCCCTGTGAGGTCCTTTAAGAAATCACTACAGACACGGTTACAATACACTTTGGTCCTGCAAAAGGTCACAATTCTAGCA